AGGTTAGCCACACGGGGTAGTGCTACGGACGAGTCGTGAAAGTTAGTCGATAGGAGAGACGATCGTCCTCCGCGGAGTTGATCGTCGAAAGGGTAGAAGATACCGCGTTGGAAACGCTGACGCAGGTGACGTTAGCCAACGCGCTGGCCATCACTATCTCATTCTCCATTGAGTCGTTGTGGTTGAAGTCACAGATCGATCGGGTAATGGCAACGGCGTCGGGTGCTCCCTTGAACACAGCTTCAACAGAGGCGACTGTCCCCATCCGCAGGATCATATGCGACAGGACAATGCCGAAGACCGGTTGTGGGAACGTCACTGCTGCTACGGTCGAAACGCACGGGAAAAGTATACATGTGGGGTTCACTTCCAGCACCGTAGTGCAAGGATATCGCGATGAGGGTGGACTCGCGCTCGCCATTGCAGCAGAGTGTTCCATGTCAGCAATGCGCGGAGCGATTTCGCATGCCCGAAAACGAATTGGCCATGCCGGCAGCGGGCGGTAGACATTTAGGCGTCGGTGGTGGTTGATGAAGTTGGCCGAATCTGGATTAAAACTAGTTTCTGTAGTAAGTAAAAGAATAACCTCTTTCTCTCGGCCCTGGATGGAGTCCACGATGGTGAGCTCGACGTTGTACTCCTCGGCTACGGCTTCATCTGACGATACTGCTCCCTGTAAAAAGTAATCACGCGGATGTCCTGCGGGGCGATACCCAAGCCAGGAGCTTGCGCAAAACGCCTATACATGCTGAAATTTCACTTTGGTTAAAATACGACGCACTAGGGGACCTTGCCGATTTGCCCGCTACTTCTACAAAAATAAACGGGACGTCAGGGGACGGTAAGAACATTCCCAACACCAGGAAACTTCGAGCCTCCGCGGGGGTCCCACTAACCAGCTACCCATCGTATGCGATGCGGTTGGGAGAGCAAGCAATGCGGAAGATGGTAATGAGCGGTGCTACGGGTACCGCTGGGACATGAAGGAGCAGATCGATGACACTGCGTGCTTCGTGGACGGCCGGGTTGGACGTCGGTGGGCGCTTAACATGTGGAGCGCGCTGTACCGCGCATCCGAGAGGTGGCGGTGCACGGTGGCGCCCAAAGTATTCGCTACCGTGTGGAGGTTTTCACAAACGGAATGCACCGGACGGGGTTGGCAAAACGTGCCCATGAGTGAATCAGGGGACGAAGCTCCGTGGCGCATATGGATTACGATTTGGACGAGCACAGAATTGGAGACAGAAATGGTATGCTCCTTACAACATCCGAATGAAGCTGAGGGCCACTCAATACATAATTATGATGTTAGAAGTAGAACAGAAATCGCTAGAACAAAAATCACCTAATTGTTTCATGTTCCCAAACTCAACGTTACGCTTATATTAGGTTAAAAATCTACCAAAAGTTTAGTATCATTAGGAAGGTAATAACGTAAGCTACTTTGTGAAATGGAAGAATTTCAATGAACTGTTATGAACATAGAAAAAAGCTGCAATGAACGTCAGCGCGCACTGTAATCATAATTTTGGCCCACCCTGTACATATATGCATACATCCGCGGAATAGTTATCGTACCCGCATCGAACTCAGATTCCAAAAGCAATTCTTCCTCTTCGACTATTTGGCGCCCCAAAGACTGCTTCCCAGCTTACTCCATTACCTTACTATTCAGGTAGACAGATCTTTATTTCTGGGACGTCGCCCCAAGATGTGAGATAACTGTACAAAGGCGACCGTTCTTTGGTCAAGTGTAGGTCTGACTCCCATCTTCCTCGCTCCCCCTGAAATAGTCACATGAATCATGAGTGATCTCTAATTACTGCCACGCTTACACAGCATCACTTACAAAATGAGAGCCATGTACTTGTAGTTGTACTGTACAGGGATGATATAAACTTGTCAGTTAACTATTTTTTCCCACTATGCCGAGAGAAGCGTCGAGGTGTTCTTCAATAGTTTTTTCATTTCCATATTTCCTCGTCGAAATCTTCATGTCTTGATTACTGCCCGCGCAAATGTCTGTGGAGGTTAATTTCCTTGAATGTTAGGAGCATAAGTAGGGTAGTCGCGATTGTGCGCGATCATAAGGATGGTCGCTGTTACGATTTGCCTCTTTGTAGGTGTCTGAGAGTGTCCGTAGTGATGTATGTAAGGAGAACATGCTATAACATTTTAAGGTATTCTTTATCAACAAAACGATGAGATTAGTGACGAAGTGGTTCGTTATCTTTGTGCTGCTCTCCTCATGTGCTGGAGTTGGAAATGGTTATGGTTATGGTGGAAGCGGTTATGGTTATGGTGGAAGAGAAGTAAGTTTGGGAACTATTATATATTCGACATTGAAAACTCAAATCACATTTCTTCATACATACACGGGATAGGAGGCACTGATATATAGGAGGGGGGGGGGTCGAGGTGGATTCAGAGAAGAAGAGAAGATACGACACCATCTTTCTGGAGCAGCGAAGTCCAACCAGTTGTGAAACAGAAGAAAAAGCATAAAAGTGCTAGTAAAAGACGCAAGCTCTAGAACAAAAGTTGCAAGCGGCTTGCTAAAACAAATTCCTCAAAGACAAAGAAGAAAAATGGACGTCCTCGATTGTCGAGAAATTGATAACTCCTTTCCTTTCTTTTCCTGCTGGCTAGAACCACGCATCGGGCTACCTTAGACATCGGGATAGTGAACTTTGTAGAGAATGTCGGCGGTTCATCCTCAAGAAAACCAGCTGATGTCAACGTAGGTGGAAAGATTATATCGAAAGGGTCTTGGACAAAGACTCCCACCACGAAGAGTGGCTTTCGCGACCCTAGGTAAGACGCAAGCGGGGAAAGTAATTGTTCTTAACGTTGCACAGGTTTCAAGTAGGGAAGATAAGTAGCATCATATGACCCTACTTATCCAATCTACTCAGATTTGTGCCCAAATGATAGGCGCCAAAGTCGTTCAAATCACCACGAATATCGCAGAGCAGTTTGCGCCGTTCATCGGGAATTGGGTGAATGTACCTACACCCGCTTGCGTGCCGCGATCAATGAGTATCCGAGCCGCCTCCAAGATGAAATTAGTGTAGAAGCGGCTCTGTCAGATGAACAAACGTTCGTCCTGTTGGGGCGATCCATGCTAGATTTTGATTTTACCATGTATCGACTTGAACTGCGGTTTTCATACCACAATTATTTTGCTACCGTAACATGTTCTGCTCCTTCTCGCGGGCTGGTTTTCTCTTGAAAAGAATCATCAATTAATGATGTTACACAGGGCTTGGGTCTATAGATAACTTAAGGGAATGGTATTATAGAGCAGTGGGTTATGAAAAAAGGGTTTTTGATGGCGATTTAAATAAAGGAAGGTAACGCTTTGCCACCATGTTCAGGAGGATAGATATGGTGAAGATCAAGGCGATCAGGATGTCTGCAGAGATTATTTTGGTATGGATGGTGATAGGTTTCGATTATTTACTGTATCAGTCTTGTTTAATAGGGATTTTTTTTTTGATGATTGATAATTTCTTGATTATAAGAACTGCTGGCAGTGATTGATTGTAGGTCTCACGGGATGTAGAACGTGCACAGACATTAGAAATGCTGGCGATTACCCCATGCAGAAAGAGAGCAGCCGCAAACTTATATACTATATGGCTCCTAAAAGGCCAAGTCTTATGTAAGTTTTGAAACCATCGAATAATACACGTTAAAAAACAATAGTGGAAGTCGCTGTATTCGTTACGGTCGAAGTGCTAGCGTCGTTCGTTCTGAAGGGAGCGCTTGGATTCCTGACGGCAACTTGTCAACAGCTTGTTATTGCCTGCTGTTGTCTTACTTGCTCCGCTTGACAACATCTGTTTGCTAGGATTTTAACGTAAAAAATTGAAGATTCGTAGATATAGTCATTCATTGAGCGCAGATCAATGGAGAACTTACTCAATTCAGGGTGCATCACTTGAAAGTTAGATCGGATCTGGGTTTCCGTGTGTTCTATCGAGCATCTCGTTATATCAGCTTTTATCAGCACCCCATTGATCACGACGATCTTCAAACTTTGCCATTACTGTGAAAACAACAAAGGAAGCCACTTTTCTGTCAAGATGACAAAACCGTTTACAATCCTTTCAACCACACAATAAAACCATCACATCTCGAGGGGCGTACACGCGGGAAGGGAAACATTTCGCCTGTACTCTGCAACTATTCCAATGTACCCATTAAAGTGTCTTGATGTGCCAACGAACGAAGGAAGCAGAAGTAGTAGAGGTGATGTATAAAGATCACTTTTCGAGGATCATTTATACTTAGCTCACACAATGTTCTGCTATTTATTTATTTATTTTATTGCACGAAGCAATGCATTCAAACAAAAGCAGTGAGGTAAAAAAAACTACGACAAATCCGAAGCAATCTTACATGGGCAGGACATGATTTTTTCGACCCTATAAGAAAGTGGTTACACTCTGTTGCTCGCGAATAAAACTCACAATCAGAAGGCGGATGGAGCTAGGGATAACGTCATTCTCTCTGGGCATGGAATATATATATATGTAAGTATACCAGTCGGGTCGATCGGCTTACGTCGGGCCTCACTCCTTACTTCGACAAAAAGGTTAGAAAACTGAACCAGGAAAACATTGCTTTTATCCAACAGTGAGGGCTTGAGTGCAGAGGCGAGGTAGCTATGCTTGCTTGTGTTTGGAAACGATTCTTAGCCGTAGGAATACAGTTTTAACCTAAGCTTTCGGAGGGAACGAGCTGCGGGGTGGACGAGACGACTGCCTCGTGCAAAGTTAAGATGAGGTGTGAGTTGAATATCCAACTCCACTTTGCCGATCCTGAAGCTCAGGTCAAAAAACTGTATTTTCTCGGTAATTGTAAGAAACGTTCCTGAACATAATTATGGGATGACCTCCTTATGTTGAAATTATCTTGAAACAAAGCGGGGTCTCTCAACTACATTAACATACCCGATTTTCGTACAGACGTACAGTAGCGCTCGAAAGTCTTCAGAGAAATACTTTGACGCTTTTTCGCTCATAACTTCTTTCTTAGTAGACTAAATTGCGCAAAATTTGGATATGTTCAACTAGATCATATTTCACCCAACCCAACACTGCTTGACTGCAAAGCTGCAATATCCAGAGATAGAGCAAGGTGCTTGTTGCGGTAGCGGATTTTGCTAAAACTAAAGTTGTTGACTTCTGCAC